GTTTATGTTCCTCTGACAGTCGTGTAACAGTCATTTAAATGCATTCACTGGGGTCTAGACTCTCACTTTGTCCTCACTGTTTGTGCACATCTATCATCAGTCAGAGGCATTTTTTTAAACCTTATATTTATTGTTCTTGTTGCCCATCATTAGCACGTGCTCTTCATTTCACCTGCAGCTTTCCTGGTTAGATAAATGAGGAAGGAAGGAGTTTAATTTGACTGACTGCAGCAGACTAAAGCTCAGACACGTTTCTGCAAACACTGAGTGATAAATTCATAAACTTACTTTAAAAAAAAGCTCAACTTTGGGAATTTCTCATCAACAGTGAAGAAGTGAAGAACATGCTCCTTATGTTTCATGTTGTTTTTTTTAATCAAATATAATTCTTGCCTTTACCCTGCATAATCTCCGGTCTACTCTGGATTCTTTCATAGGTGTATGCATACTAACAGTTGTTTTTTAATATTTTAATATTTATTGAAAGTGTTATTAATGCACAACAACAGTTTAAAAAGGCTGTAGCACACAGATCAGCTCATTTTAGTTTAAAAGCACCTCGGCGTCTTATTTTGTGTTCACTTTACTTGCTGCTGGTATAGCTACACTGTGTCACATTTTAAAAGATAGTCAAGCACCAACAATGCAGCTTTTCTTCAATAAAACACTCCAGAAAAGATGAAATCTCCTCCAAATCTCACATAAATCCCTTTTCTCTTCTTCAGAGTCACCTTCAGGTTAAATCTGTATCAAACTCACCCATCAGCTGCCGTCCACAACGTCTCACTGCTCCACCATCCAACCCTCCGACTGCAGCCTGCAGCGATCTGAAGAGATTTGAACCACCACCACCACCTCCTCCTTGTCCTCTTCCTTCTCCTCATTTCCTGCTTGCAGGCTGTCATCAGAAAAACGAGAGTTCCTGAAGGGCTCTGAAAGCTGGATTTCTTTTCTCCCATGTCCACATGTTGACATTGAACTCATCTTGAGCTGTTTATTTCCCCACAGACTCAGAGGACAGCAGCTGCCAAAGGATCTGTTTAAAGGACGACACAACACAACGAACTGACGTCACTGGAAAGAGTTTGTTCAAAGCCACTCTGTGTGTGCATGTTAAACAGAACTGACAGATAAATAATAACATAATAAGGCACCACAAATAATTTTTTTAAAAGTCCAGAAATAAACAACAACAACAAAACCAGGCTCATTACAACTTGTAATTTTTTTTACTTTTATTTATGATCATTGATTCAACTGCAAAATTAAACCCACCTGTAATGTACGCAGTCCAAACGGGTGACTGAACACAGCAGGTCAAATTCCCATCGAGTCACAAAGTGCACAGCAGTGCTAGACTGCTGTTCCACAAAATCAGTCCATTAATGTAATTAAACACAAAACAAAGAACAGGTTGTTTGGTACCAACCGTCATCCTCCTGCAAAACTAAACCAGCATCTAGTTAACAAAACCTGCAGTTCCCCTGATGCCCACTTGAGGTTGCCTCTAAAAACGAGTAATTCCTCACAGACTCCCTCATTAAAACACTAATTTACAGCTGAAGTAAACGTGTTTACAGAACTGACCTCTGTAGATTGTTCCCCCTTCGCAAAAAGTGTATAAAGTTTTCTTTATTTATTTGATCGGAACCTGGTGGGTACTGCAGTGGTTACTTTGACTGGCAGG